ACACACACACACACACACACATACACACACACCCCTCAGTCATTTATCAGGTTTGGTTTAATGTCTAAACATGGAAACATTAAGGATATTTTCTTTTCTTTTTTTTTTTTTTCAGGCAAATGCTCACAGGTCTTAACACAAATATTGTATGTGACAAAATTATAAAATAAAACAACAACAAAAAATAAAAAAAGATAAGAATATTTTACTTTTGTTGATCAGGGACCTTTATTAATTCAGGTCTGTGTACAAATGTAAATAAAATCATTCAATTAATTCCTGTCTAAATTATGCATCATTTCTATATTTTTTAATTTAAAAGGATTATGACTATTTGCTGGTGCACAGTATATGACGGCATAAACAAACTTGTTTTGCACAATAGTTTTATAAGTGTGTTATGTAATCAAATGTATAAAAAGTGGGAGGTACTAAAAGAGTGACATAAGGTGAATCTTTTTATTCCCAACTCGTGCTCAGAGGGTTAAACACCTTTTTTGATTTGTTCTTTTTTCTTTTTTTTTACCTACGCTACTTGTGCCCCTGTATGAACATTAAAAAAAACATTACAAGCCGAACAAAAAGATGTTACTTTATGAAGATATTTTATGTGTAAACTCTTATTTAAAGCACTCTTGGTTGTTTTTATATTGTTGAATGCCTTTTTGATTGGTCTTTTTTCCCCTGTCTAATTACTCTGCCATGATTCCCCTCTGCAGTTTTATCTTTTCGGGACATGAAAGGTAACCATGGTTACTTTAACCTCTAGAGTGACAAGTTCTGCTACATTTTTTGGCAGTTAATTTGCTGAAGTAACTGACATCTGCCAGCAAAATAAAAATAAAAATAATAAAAAAAGAATATTTATGTGTAAAATATTGGCATGTAAACAGCACAGATACTGTTATGCATTCTGTGCTGTTAGTCTTTTTTTTTTTCATTTCATTCTTTGGTTTTCTGTTGTTGTTGTTCTTGACAATGAATCCCCATTATATGACTTCGTATAACCTTGTTTTCTACTGCAGCATTAAAAAAAAGGAAACTGTTTTTTGCAATAATGTGCGTGTGTACATTCTGTGTGTCATGGCTATCAATTAGGTGTGTGCTCTGCAGTCCCTAATGAGCACATTAGACTGGGAGTGTGTCAGCGTCTGTCTGTGATGGGCTGCAGACTAGTTTACGGTGAGTGGCAGCAGCAGGGCCGTGCGGGAAACACAAACACACACACACACACACACACGCATACACATACACACACACACACACACACACACACACACGCATACACATATATACAGTATGTATGTATATATTTGAAAATGACAAATAAAATGAAATGAAAGGCAGCAGAGAGAAGAAAATAATCTTATATCTGCCCCTTTTTTTCTAGGATAAGTTCATATAACAAAAAATCTGTTATTAACAAAACAAAAGACAAGAACTTCTAATCCCTCTAGAACAACAATTTATTTAGATACACCTTATACTGTTTCATATTTCTTTAACAATCCAACTTTTATCATTTTCTTAAATGTACATAATGATCCAATGTTTTTTTTACATCACTCCCCAAATTATTCCACAGGTTTCTTCCTTGAATTAAAGTACGCCGTTCCTTCAAACTGGTTCTGAATTTGGGCTTTACAAAAATCTCTGTCCCTTTAAGGTTACAACAACTCTTTCTCTTAACAAATTTTACTTTAATGTTTAAAGGTAATGTGTAGGTCTTATACATAACCAGTATAATCAACCAAATCAAAGAACTTCAATTTTTCAATTTACAAAATAATGAATTTGTTTGGTGACGACAATGTTTTCCAGTAATAATTCTCACAGCTCTTTTTTGTAATAAAAAAATAGGATTTGTATACACGCTTTCCCTCAGACCTCAATACAATAAACCAGGTGTGGACTTATTATTGCATTATACAACATATACAGTGCTTTATCATTAAATATCTCCCTTACTTTATACAGAACAGCAGTAGATTTAGCCATCTTTGTTCTTAAATAATTTAGGTGAGGTCTCCATGTCAGCCCTTCATCACTACACCCAAAAGCTTCACCTCACTGACTTTACAAATCTCAACCCCATTGACTCTAAATAGAACATCAATAGTTTTATTTCTATTACTAAATACTGTATAATTAGTTTTCTCTAAATTTAATGACAACTTATTAATTCTAAACCAGGGCTATTCAACTAAATTGCTCCGGGGGCCACAGTTACTGCCGGTCAACGGCTGAGGGGCCAAACATCCAGCAATTAAAATTATAATGTAAATAAACCAAGTATTACAAAGATCTGTTACCTTTGAATTAGTTTATTTTGCTGCATTTAATCATGAATACAACACACAAAACCATATAAAGTAGTGATAATTACACATTATCAAAATTAAAAAGAACACATCATACCCCGTATTATTAGACACAAATAATATTTTGACATCTGTGACTTGCCAAATTTTTAAACCAATTTTATTTTCAATTTCATGATTTTATTTTCAACTGCTTGTAGTTTTAACTGTCTTGAGTGTTTATAGAAATGTTTTTACCAGCTTCTAGCCAAGATTCTGACATTTCTGTAGATACCAAACATGTCTATGTTTACTAAAATAACAGAGTAATTAAAGTAGAAAACCGGGGATTTGGGCTGAAGAGATGAATGAACCAATTGGCGGGCCGAACTTTGGTCACTCGTGGGCCGGACGTGGCCCACGGGCCTCCAGTTGAATGGCCCTGGTCTAAACCAAGTTTGTATTTTAACAAATTCTGTTTGCATCCTTTCTAACATCCGTTCTTTATCTTTACCCAAACAAAAAAATGTGGTATCATCTGAAAATAGTACACATTAGAAAAACTCTGACACATTCATTATAAGCAACTTTGGTCCATGTACAGAACCCTGAGGAACTCCACATCTTATGTTACAAAGTTTAGACCTTAGTTAATGCAAAAATGACTATAACTCAGTCAGTTTTACAGACAATGGGCTAAATTTTGATTTGGTAGTTGTTGAGAGTGATTTTTAACACAACCTGAGCGTGACATCTTGCAAGATTGCATAATATTTAATAAACTGTTATTTTTAAGGTTTGACCAAAATGTCAGCAACATAAGATGATCTTTAATATTCAATAAAGAAATGCAGACGTGTTGTAGGCTTTTAATAAATGTGTGCTGAATTTGTACACATTGTATTTTTTTATCTGCATGTACTGACTCCAACAATGCATTGTGTACATAAAACTTGTTGTTTGATTCTGCAGTTGACGGTGGCTGGGGGGAGTGGAGTGAGTGGTCTGCGTGCAGTTCGGACTGCGAGAGGCAGCGCAGCAGAGAATGCACAGCACCGGAGCCCAAACATGGAGGAAGGCTGTGTGACGGGGTGGCGGTGGCTGCCGACAACTGCACGGGTGGCCTGTGCATGCAGAGTGAGTTAAATAAAAAAAAGGAGAGAGAGAGTGAGTTCAGCGTTATTACTGTCGGCTGCACCGTGCTCAGAAACTGTGTCATTACAGATTTAATGTTCATCGTTTTAGGCAGAGCAGCCAAGATCCCGATCATCATTATGATCACGCTCATTAAAAACAATCTCTTCCATCTTCATTATTCATCCAGTTGACTGCGCATGCATCAGGTGCAGGCCGCTCAGGCACTGCTGCATGCTCAAGTACTGACAAGGTTTTTCAAAATCGTTTCGTTTCTCTCTGTCTGCAGATCGGAAGTTGCTCCATGATGCAAAGCCTCAAGGTGAGTTTGTTTCTGACTGGGTGATAACCTAAACATTGAATGCATCGGTGTCCCTGGCAGGACCTGCTGCTTCTTCTTCAGCAATGGCTTTTTATTTACTCCTAAAATATATAAATCATGAATTTAGCACACACTTAGGTAACCTCTCCACGCACCCTCTCGTATGCTCACGCATCAACTGAGATATGAAAAGGTGAAAGGAAATATTTTTCTTTCAGAACCTAAATTATCCATGGTGGTTTCCATGGTTTTCAAGGTTCCATTTAGGAGCTTGCTGACACACTCAGAGCAGTAAAGTTGTTTTTAATCAGTGTTTTTTTTATATTGCTAAGACACAATTTTAAAAACAGAAATCTTTTTTTAAATACTTCACACAATTAGTACAACAACACACCCAATTAGCAGAACGCCATAGCTCTTCTGTAAAAACTGTTCACACACTTTTAAAATCTGTTTTAGTACCATACCCTACACACGCTGTTCACCTCATCCACTTCTTTTATCCTTTCATCTTCATTATGATGTCTTTGTAAAGCAGATAATTGTGTTTGGCCTTCTGCAAATCTGTGTGTGGTGTTGTGCACAAAGTGTGAGGCTGACATCGTGTTTATAAATGTGCAAATCTGAGCTGCTGTTTTGCTACTTGAGTGTAAAGTTTGCAGTAGTTTTAATTTTAGCGTGTGAGCAGTCATAAAAAAACTGTAATAATGCTGAACAATGAGCAAAATATTCTGTCAAGGTGTGTCATTTTGTGCTTTAGAAATGTAGTCTTTAACAAATAATTAGGAAAAATAATTTTTCTATTATTTATGGCCTGTCGACAAGGACCTTTTTTACATTCTGATCTCTGCCGCTTTTGTTTGTAACGCAGGGTCAAGTTTTGAAAAGGTCATTGTCACCCACACATAAAACTCCAAAGTGGAAAAGAATAAATCATTCCTCTGACTCAGCACAGGGATTTTTGAATGGTAATCGCCTGATTATATTGTAAAATAGCATATGACACATGCTCAACATTTAAAACTAGCATTCACCTTCAGACCAATACAAAAAAAAACCCACTTCATTAAATTGTTTCCATCAAAAGTAGATTTAAAAAAGTTACCAGTGGTAAACAAAAATATCATTTGGATACAAAACATGATGTGTTCGATGTTCCCTTCCTGCACTGAAAAAAATTACTCGTAAGATGTACTTGAAAAAAATCCTCTAACAAATTTGCACTAACGTTTGTTAAGTAAATGTAAATGCTACAAACTCAAGTAATATTTACTCATCATCATCTAGTAAAAGTTATTAAGAGTATAGTTAAAGATTTGTGAATAAATCAGGTAAATTTYAYTTAATTTKCTCAWTTAAATYTTTTAACATATACTTGATGAAATCCAAATCAAATTCTGGAAGTGGTCATTCAACTAGATCTGTTACAAAAGGACAGCTGATATTACCAACTTTTAAAAACTGTTAYGGCCAGAGGTCTTTCTTCTATGTTTATATTAAAGCATGGAATGACATTCCTCAAAACATAAAGTCCATTACAAAACTACAGCCCTTTAAGAAGAATCTTGTCTGCCATCTGCTGGACACTTTTTGTTTTGTTCATATTTAGACGTCCTATTTTGCAAATGCTGCCTTCCTGAAATTTGTCATGCTTGTTTGTCTTTGTGTCTATGGTGTATAATGATGCGATTGTGATGCTGTATCTCTGAGTGTTTTATGTGCTGCAGAACAGGAACCTGCTGTAAAACAGCAATTATGCTGAGTCAGGCTTGATTTTTAATAATCTTTTCCTGTTAAATAAATAAATCAAATCAAATCAAGTAAAATTTACCTGATTTATTCACAAATCTTTAACTATGTCCTTAATAACTTTTACTAGATAATGTTGAGTAAAAATTACATGAATTTGTAGCATTTAGATTTACTTAAACATTAGTGCAAATTTGTTAGAGAATTTAAGTAAATCTTACAAGTTCTTTATAACAGTGCACATGCATCAAGCACAATATTGAAGCATGACACCTCACAGCTACAGAGGTGTAGTTCATGTTCTAGTTCAAGACTTCACCACCAGGTGGCAGTTTTGAAGAACCTTTATTGGATTCTTCTTCATGAACAACACAAAGTGAAACTCACAGGTCTTATTAATGACTAGGCCTACCACTCTCACTGATGGTTACTTCTGCTGAACGCTTTAACACAAGTTAACAAATAATGAACACACAAATTAGAGTAACACAACAGACTTATTGCTGAAAGAACAATGTTAACCAATTCCCTAAAATGATTTAACAACAACAAACATGAATCCTACCCACAATCCTCCACTGCAGTCACATGACAAACAGCCAAACACAGCAGAATGCTACAATATGCATTCCCTGTTCCCTGACAACTAAATATCACCTACATTATGTTATCAAACTATTGCACACCAACAAATGTGTTCAAGCAAAAGAAACCAGTCAACTTATGTGTTATTTCCACCATGTCTTGTCCTCTCCTTGAGAAGCAAGGGAATGAGGAGCAGCAGCCTTTGTGTGTGCATGCAGCCTCAGTTTTAGCCCAGAAGAGTAGAAGATACTTAATATATTCATGTTTATGTGCTGTCCAGAAAAAACACTTAAATATTACTGGTAAAATAATATTAGCATTTACTTTTTTGTACAGTAATACTGATATATATATATATTATAATGTATTGTTTATTTAGTAAATTCTAGTAATTTAGAGATTTTGTTATTTTTTTGTAAAATTTAAAAGAACAATTAAATAAATGTTACCACACCCCAAAAAAAAAAAATACTTTTTTTCAGTGTGCTTTGTGTTAAAACCTAAAGGCCATTATTTAAAATATTACCCAAAGTTAGAGATAAAACCTGGTAAATCACTTTAACAGGTTTGCTTTAAGGTTTTAAGTGTTATAAATGTTTTATGTAAAATGAAGCCATTAAGCCATTCCAGACACAGGGTGGGCTGTAAAAGTAAAAATTGCTTATTCTGTAATATTTCATCTGGGGGAGAGAAAAAAACAACTCAACCAAATCATCAGCCTGGAATTAATTATATTCAAAGTCATGAAGAGTGGATCAAACTGCTGATCACAAGGCCACCTTTAAAAGCCAAATAATTAGTCAAATAGCAATCTGAGACAGACAATCTCAAATACACCTGTTCCGATAGACCCCAGAGTCAACACCGGTCCAATAAGTGAAATAACTAAGTATATAGAAATTATTGATGGGAACTACTTTGCGTCTTCCAAGGGTTTGAGACTGTGGAGGCTTGCCTTCCAGCAGGACAATGAACTGAAACACACAAGTGAAGCAACACTCCACTAGCCTGGCCCTTGCCTTCCTACGCAGCTCCGCTCAGTTCTAGTTTCCTTCTCTGCTCCGTCTGGGACTTCTCCCATAGACAAGGATTTCACTGGCAGATTTTTAGCCGAACCAACCAGAGAACAGAACGTCGATTTTTTGCGCAGTGTCTGCTTGTAGTTTATTTTACCTGGGCCAATCAGAGAACAGAACSTCAATTTTCTGCGCAGTGTCTGCTTGTAGTTTATTTTACCTGGGCCAATCAGAGAACAGAAGGAGGAGTTTTGAATGGCGTCGATGTTCTGCGCAGTGTCTGATATAGTTTAGCATACGGCAGTGGAGGAAGTGAATGAAGCCAGTCTCAGACTCAAAGGCAAGGCAGTAGCAGTGTGTTTTTAAGTGAGACTTGAAGACAACGAGGGAAGGAGACGGTCTGACATGTAGTGGTAGATCATTCCACAGTTTTGGACCTCTACAGAAAAGGATCTGTCACCTCTCAGTTTGAGACGAGAGTTGGGAACCTTCAGAAGCAGCTGACCAGATGACATAACGACATACATCGCTTTCTGACTTTTTTTTAGATACATTAGATATATTACATACACTCATATTAATATTTTCATCAATATTATCATTAATAATATTTACACATTTGGCATATTCAGCTCTTATTGGTTGCTATTTTACCAATAGTAGCCTGTGTTGATGTAAATCCAGACTCTTGCCTGTTCTTGTTAGCACTGCTGCTGCTACAGTAGATCACACTGTCGTGATCAAGACACACCCCTGCTGTTTTATATAACTCCATGGTTGTGGCACAAAGGATTGACTCTGTGTAGGTTAATTTGTGTACGTGAAGTCCTTTTCAGGTTTATATATTTTCCAGTTATTTATAACCCCACACATTGGTTATTTGAAAATATTCTGTTCATTTATTACTTATAGTCAAACTTAAAATGTTCTTATAAAACTCCAGGCAACAAAACAGATCACTGAGGGGGAGTTTCTTTTGCAACCCTCTCTATATCTGAAGGGTAACAACAGATCTGGTGGGGATTCGTTTTCCAAGCCTGATGAAGCGTTTTATTTGTCATTTTACTGTGATTTAAACTGAAGAACATGATGCTAGAATAAAATTACGTAGACAAAAAAATCCAAAGGTTTTATCACACTTTAACCTCAGTTTCCTTTCATGGCTAACGCTGCACACTTGTATAATGTCCTTATTTATGACTTCATCATGTGTAGCCTTTCAGGTGGACCTATCTGTGGGGAAGCACTTTACTGCCACTGCTTCATGTTTAATGGCTGTTTAATGATGTATTTGTTGCAGTGTCTGTCTGATATCCAGCATGTTCTCCTTACATGTCCTTTAGCACAGATCTGTATTTTTGCTTGTCAGGAAGGGTAGGAAAAATGCATTCAGACTGCCAAAACTTCCCGAGCCCTCAATTAACCTGCTCCTATAGCTGTTAATACCGCTTTGCATATTTTGTCCATTTTTTCCCCCCTCATTTGAGCTTCAGGCTACTTTGAGGATTTCTCAGCATGTCCTGCTTTGGCGCAGATCTCATTATCTTTCAAGAACAAGCTAGCAGCTTCTGTTTCCCACTCATTCTTTGTCTTTGTGGAGTTGGATGCTGCAATACTAGTGGGAGCAGATAGAGCATAATCGCTGCCGATGAGCTAATTTAATGAATTGGTTTTGTCACATTACCCCAGTGGAACGCAGAGCGCCTCCAACACCAGAGCCAAGCGGTGTTTGAAATGACAGTCAGGTGCTGGGTTGATTATAATCGCCTTCCTTGCGAGGTTCCTCATTAGTAGCCTTAACTCTGCAGAGTGGAACAATCAAGTTGTGTACCAGGAGGCCGACGAGGGACGGAAAACAAAACAGACACTAATGTAGTTTCAAATCAAGGTAGACATGCCTTCGACAAAAAGCTTCCACAACTTTAACTTAGTTGAAACTCTTCTGCAAAACTGTTTTATTTTTTTTAAAAGGGGAAAAAAACATCTCATTGCATCCTAATTAAAGATAGTGCAGAGATTCTTAACCTGTGGGCCGCAAGCGCCACCTTGAGGGCCTCAAAAGAACAACAGTTTTTAACTTTGGGCCGCAGAGATTTTGAATAAAGTGCAATACACTTTCTCACCACTAGTAGCAGTACTGCACCACTCAGATGTTTAAAAACTTATTTTAATACGTAGAAGAAGAACCTTAGAAACCTGCTGAGAATGGAAACTTATTTTAAATGAAAAGTAGAAACAAAAATGAAAGTAACTCATCAAAAAACACCAAGTTTGTCACTAATATGAAGTGCAGCTTCTGGTTCTATCATGCAGTATTTTAAAAGTTCAAAACATTATCAAATACATAACAGATGCAGCTATATTTTAATTTGCACTTCATCAAATTATTTTTGTAGTTTATTTTTTTATATTTTTAATGTATTTTAAAGAAACTTTAAACTTGTCAAAAAGTTGTTACTGTTATTGTTTGTCACTAATATGAAGAGCAGCTTCTGGTTCCATCGTGCAGTATTTTAAAAGTTCAAAACATGATCAAATACATAACAGATACAGCTATATTTTAATTCGCACTTCATCAAATTATTTTTTGTAGTTTATTTTTTAATATTTTTAATGTATTTTAAAGAAACTTTAAACTTGTCAAAAAGCTGTTACTGTTATCATTTGTCACTTATATGAACAGCAACTTCTGGTTGCAAAAGTTTAAAAAGGCTATATTTTCATTTGTACTTTATCAACTTTATTTTTACAGTTTTTTTG